GAACGTTTGTTTCTCTGCAGAAATCTACTGATGGGAGTGGTTCATGTTGTTCAAATTAGTGGCATTCTTATGCTAACGTGACTTTCTGGGGAGCAGGTAAAGCTAAGATGTGGTAAAAGATAAACTAAGGCACGTTAAAATTTTCAAGAGTGTTATCTGTGCATACATCCATTTAACTTGGGCAGCACCAAACTGACAGTGATTAGGAACATTCCACCAATGGAAGCTTAGAGGGAAGTTTTTATAGAAAAGACAAGGACAACAAGGGAAACAAGCAAGGACATTATTTGATTTGCTATAGATTACACGGTTGCCTTGTTTGGCCATTTGTGATTGATTGTTCTTAAATTCCTCAGATTTGAGCTCATTGACTCTGGCTTAGGTTTGGTTTGCATGCATAGGTAACCAAGACATTAGAATTACCCCAGTCTAATACTGCCTCATTTAATCACTTTAAGTCTTCCCAGGTGGTGCTAGTGGTAAAGAACCTGCCTGCCAATGCAGGAGACATAAAAGATGAGGGTTTGATCCCTGGGTCAGGAAGATCTATCCTCTGGAGGAGGAAATGGCAACCCACTCCTGTATTCTTCCCTGGAGAATCCCATGAACAGAAGAGCCTGGAGGGCTACAGTTCATAGAGTCACACAGAGTTGGACATGAGTGAAGTGACTTAGCACTGCAAAGTCACTTTAACAGATGTATTCATTGCAAGTTTGAAAATAGAATGGGGGTGAATCTTTGGTTGGGTGCATTGTGTGGCTTTCAAGTAAACTTAATTTCAGCCCTGTCCTAGTCTATTTTATAACCTTTGGGGGCAAGATATGAACTCCCCTCTCACTGGTCTCAGAGAGGGTTAAGTATCAGGGAAGAGGACAAGAGAGTGAGGAATGGGATTTTCCTCTAACCCAGAGCCTGGGTTGATTTGAGTATTTTCTGTTAAGCCCAGTGGTTGAGAGGGCACTAAGAAGGGGCAAGTAGGGCTCTAAGGAGCAGGGAAGAGGAACTCTCAGCAGCTCCTACACTAGGAAAGCTTCCCTTCTTGATCCTCTGAGACCACAATCTCCATTGTCCTCTCCAAGCAAAGGAACCCTCAAGTGATTGGCTAGATTATGGAACACAGTCTCTGGGTTCTAACTGGTCAGATTCACTAATAGGTGAGGTTACTCTGCTACACAAGTTATTGGCTTGGAGGCCTCTTTAAGTTTTTCCTACCATGGTACTGGATGGACAAGCTGAGGCAGGGCATGTCACTGCATAAACTGGACCATCCTGCTTTTCTCTTTACTTTCTTCCTCTTACCAGCATGCTACATCTTGCATCAAGAACCTTTGACTCAGTGGCCAACAGGTGTTAAGATCTGAATTAAGAGACAATCAACAATTCCTCTTTGAGCCTTATGTTTGAGTTCCATCCCAACTTCATTAGAGACCTAGTACTAAGGTTTATGTCACCAGCTAATAAAATTTATGTCACCAACTAATAAAATAGTGCCTTAATTTTTGACTTTTTTTTTTTTTTGCTGAATGTCTCCCTCAGGAATCTCATAAATAACAGTCATTTCTGATGGTACTGGATTTGTAAGTTTGGGGGAATCTTAGCTATAAGAATGACCTATTATCCTGGTTTGCCTGTGTCTGAGGAGTTTCCTGGGATGCAGCACTTCTAGTACTAAAACCAAGAAAGTTTCTGACAAGCTAAGATGCATTGATCACTCTAGCTGAAATTCCATCTTTTTTCCCCCAAACTTTATTAGACCTTTACTTCAGGAGAGCAAGATGTAAAGGAAGGAAAAGTGCTTATCAAATAGTCAATTATCAACTAGGAGGCTATGCATAACAACACAAAATATTTTGTTATCTAATATATAATTCTTTTATATATGTTACAACATGAAAAAATAAAAAGCACAAAAAATTGAACATAAATGTTTAGCTCTAACACATCAACATTTGTTTGTCTGGTTTCTTTTTTTTTTGTTTTGGTCTCGAGCAAGACTTCCTCGAATTTTATAGCAAGTGTTCCTCACTCTCTTGAGTCACAGCTGTGGATTACAGCTGTGAAACGCCATCTTAATGCCATTAAACCCAACCTGTAAATTTAATTCCTACAGGCTGTGAAAACTTGGATATATTACCAACCCTCTCTGAGCCTTAAGCACTTCACATATAGGTTTTCTATAAATATTATATTAAACTAAATTAAATTTCCCAACATATTTCCTGGTTCATATGTGCCTGCATGCCAAGTTGTTTCAGTCATGTCTGACTCTTCGCAACCCTTTGGACTGTAACCAACCAGGCTCCTCTGTCCATGGGATTCTCCAGGCAAGAATACTGGAATATGTTGCCAGGCCCTCCTCCAGGGGATCTTCTCAACCCAGAGACTGAACCTGCATCTCTTACATCTCCTGCATTGGCAGGATTGTTCTTTACCACTAGCAACACCTGGGAAGCTCTTCCTGGTTCATGAATACGTGTGTGAAAGTTGCTCAGCCATGTGGACTCTTTGCGACCCCATAGACTATAGCCTGCCAGGCTCCTCTGTCCATGGAATTCTCCAGGCAAGAATACTGGAGTGGGTAGCCGTTCCCTTCCCCAGGAGATCTTCCCAACCCAGGGTTCAAACCCAGGTCTCCCACATTGCAGGCAGATTCTTTTCAGTCTGAGCCACCAGGGAAGCCAGCCAGGTTCATAGTAGATACCAAATTAATATGTGTTCCTATTTCATTTTCTTATTTTTCTTGGCACAACACAATATAGGAGGAATTGAAATACTTTTCTGAATTTAAGAATTGGAAATGATTCCTAAGTCCACTTTTCAGTTTAATGAAAAGAAATTTTCCTACTGTTAAATAGTATCAGGATTAGACAATGGAATAGTGAATGCATTCCATTACTGGAATAAACCAGGCACTACATATTCAAGTGACTGTGGAGGCCATGCAGGGAACATAAAAATGAGTGAAATAGGATGAATGGGACTGTGGCGAACAGGCACCCCTCAGCCCAGATTGTGGCCACATGAGAAGGAGAATCCAGTGTGATAGATCCTACCAGTTTTTTCTAGAGAAACTATGTGTTTGACTTTCTTTACGTGAAACATACCTATTTTCATATGTTGACATCAAGTTTAGGATTTTCTGAAACAGTGTGTTAGCCAATCAAAACACTCCATAAGCCTTTAATCCTCTCACTGAGTTGCTTCATTGAGTAAGAGAGTGAAACTGGATGTTGTAATAAGACAACCAAAGAAAGTTAATTCTGCCCAGATGGAATAATCATCATTATTAAAAGTAGCCAGAGCAATTAAATGATGACAGAAAAGAAAAAAAAAAGTTACGAAATTGTCAAGTTTTGAATTTGGGTATCTTGTAAATCTAACAACTCAAGGCTAACTCTCTGGGTTTGCAAAATTGTTAAGGTTGAACCTGCTAGCAAAGCTTGGTAAAATGCTTGCAAGCATTATCTGACAGATTTCAAAACAGTTTGAATATTAGTCATCACAGATATGTCTGCCAAAAAGGGTAGTGTAAAACATCTGCAGCCCACATAAATACCCCCTGCTGAGTTAAACTCAGGAAATCAGCTTCAAACGTTGCAAGAGGCAAAGAAGCTGAAATGGCAGAATTTTCTACTAAGTGATTGATAGACTTTCTCTGTGAGTAAAACTGTTGGGAAGGAACCAGTGAGCTTTCAATATATCCTGTGTTTGACCTTTGGCTTTTGGTGACAAGATATTCTGAAGCTCTACTTGGACTTACCCTACTCAGTGAATCACTTGCATGGTATAAACTGAATACTAATTCTGTTGAGTCAGGGGATGTTAGATGACTATTAAACCCCTGAGTTACAATAATTTTATGAAATGATGAAAAATCTCACTTAACTACATTTAATTGTACCATAGAACCAATAAGACAAACATATCATCACAATTATTAAGAAAACAGCAGAGCCTAGAGTCTTGAACTTTTTCGAAAAGCATAAAATTTTAATTCAAACACAACTAACCTGCCAAATGCAAGATGATCTGAAGAATCATCACTGTCTGTGTCCTGTAATTTTAGAATCTTCAGTATTGGTGGCAGACTGTTCCTCAGTGAGCCACATTGTTTTGCCATAAGACAGAGGAGGTTTGTGATCTGTGGCAGATTCTGTGAGTCCTGAATGTCTGGATCAGGAATTTTATAAAGAGAAATCCACTAATGTGGCATTACTGGGAATGGCTGCACGGTTTCTTCCTTCAAAGATATGTTTCTTTTCTTTTTTTGACTCAATACATAAAAACAGCACAGCTGTAAAGAGGAGGACAAAATTCTTTTTGTCTTATGTTTTCATTTATTCTTGTTAAAAGAAAAACAACTGATTCAGAGTTTAAATACTGTTCTTGTGACTACCAGTTATATAAAACCAAACACAGAGAGAGTCATATACACAATTATTTTCTTCTTCTCAATTAAAAAGAAAAAAATCCTTGTGAAATCATTTTCAATCAGTCCCCATCACATTGCTAGCTTTAGTTGGAAAGGAAAAACCTTGCATATGAATGAGGTTATGATTCAGGAATTGGCTTTTTGAACTTAGAAAATGTTGTTGATGTAAGATGATCTGTTTTATTATTAATCTACAATTCACCAGTTATGCAGCTTAAGAAGACTTGCTAAACGATAAGATCATGATTCAAGATCTCAGAACGACTGCTAGCAGGTTTGTCCAATATGAAAGTTAATTTCATGGAAAGAATCATTTAAAGACAGTAAGAGTCGATGATGAAACCACTCTCTGGAGTTTGAAAAGAGACGGGGCTGCTTTAAGAGAGAAACAGGAAGTTGTAACTAGAAGCCATCTGAATACTAAGCCAAGGCAGAATGCTCATGAAGTAGCAACTTAAGTGGCTGTGTTTATCCTGAAATCCTCAGGCAGCCAGACCGTCTTAGGCAAATTTTGATAAAATAGTCCTTGTCCAGGTTTTTATCTAAGGAATCCTGAGAAGACTGAAGAATGGAGAGAAAGCAAAGGTTCATGTCAGAGAAGGATGAATATCAGTTTCAACATCAGGGAGCGGTGGAGCTGCTTGTCTTTAATTTTTTGCTCATCCTTACCATTTTGACAATCTGGCTATTTAAAAATCATCGATTTCGCTTCTTGCATGAAACCGGGGGAGCGATGGTGTACGGTGAGTGCAGAAATTGTAGGATTGATGCGAAACTTGTTGCTTGGGCGTAATTACAGACGTGCTCAGATGGCAAAGTACCAAAAGTGGAGAAAATGTGCTGATTGAAATGTCATTAGCTTGATGAAAGGTGCTGCAGCATAATGAATGCTCATCTCTTTCCAGATAAGCTGCTGAAATTTGCCTTGTCACAAAAGTAAATGCCACAGTCATGTTCTCATGAGGCACATAATGCGGGTCTTTTGACAGATGTGGGTCCATTGTCATGTGGGAAGTCAAACCGGGCTAGTTGTTTGTTTTTGTAATGATAGATATTGGGAAGTGATGGCTCTGCAGTCACAAAAAGCAAGCAGCCTTCTCTCTCTGGAGGGGCTGATGAGCATTATAAAGTTCTAGAAATAACAACACTTAGACATGTATTGAGAAAATCTTCTTAGCACCAAGTTTCAAGAAGAAAACTTGCAGAAATGTACCTATTCCTCCCCCGCTATTGAAGCAATTTTGTTCAAATCTACTTAAATTATATGAGTGTGTTTTATTTTCTTATAATACCAACAGTTTCTTTATGCAGTGCTCTTCATTTCTTAGCCTGATTTCATACTTTTAATTAACAATTATTAGTATTATTTGCTAAGTATCTTCTTTTTTGGAGGTACGGGCAAGGTGTGGAAAAAACATTTAACCTTTACACTCCCGAGGTATTGCTCTTTCTGTGCAATTTACCATATCATTCCTTTCAGAAAGTTTATTAAAACATGACAGAGATTATCCAGTCTGTATTCTCATCTTTTAAAGTAAAGTGTAAGACACTGGTAGTTTTAAAACTGATTTGGTTTATGAAATAGTTTTCTGTACCACTCTTATCTTTGCCTGATAATGGATAGGAAATTCGAACACAATGGAAATGGCTGCGATATTGTTATAATTCATAAAAGAATATACTTTTATATTTCACTTCCCTTATTTTGGAAGTTCTGAAGCCTTTTACACTCCTGAGTTTCAGGGAACAGGATCAGTGCACATTTTATATGCTAACCACGTGATGTCCTGATAATAACAATATACAGTCATGATTTGAGACCATGAGAAACCCTATGCCTTAACTGGATCCAACTGTGAGATATTTGAGCTAAGTAGTTTTAGGCTAAGCAGAATAATTTCTTTCAGGAGACTGATGTACTGGTCCATTCAGAGAACAGTTAAGTTCTTTCCATCGAGGGTCTTAAAGCACACACAAACTCTCATTTGAGGAGAAAAAACTCACAATCAGGTTTAAGGGAAATAGTCAAAGTGATACCACCAGATGTAAAGCCCTGGGTGCCAGTCACTGCCCTCCTCCATCATCACTGGACCAGGCTTTCTCCTGACTTGTCTAATAAATAATCAATGAGGATGTGGGATGTAATCTGAGAAGTTAGAAACAGTGTAATTCCTAGCATTAAATTATAGGGCAATTTATAGTTTAGAAAAACAGCACAGGTTTTAAAATAACAAACCTTTATTAGAGGGAAGGATTTCTTCACAGTCCTGAATTTGATTGACCATGACTCATTTACCAATTAAAGTTTATCTATGATGGAGATACTGTTTTGTAAAAGTTTTGATGAAATTTGGTGACCTATTAAAATTCAACATACTTTGTACTCACAACACATAAATGTAACTTTTACTTTGGAACATGAAAATTCCCAGGTTAACTTTAATACTTAAACAACTCCATGAAGTACTTTTAAGTTATGGTTAAAGTCAGAAAATATTAGCACATTTACTGCGTAGCACAGGGAGCTATGTTCAATATCTTTTAAAATGCTATCCTGGAAAAGAATTGTAAAAAAGAGTATATATACAAATCACTTTGCTGTACACTTGAAACTACCAATATTTCAAATCAGATGTAGTTTAATAAAAAGAATAATTAGCACATTGAACATTAGCTGAGATAGCATTTCTCTTAGTTGCTATTCCTAAGGCAGTTTAAGCTTAAGGTTTGTGTGGGATTAAGTTGAGCTGTCTGATTTCTGTCCTTCTTTCATAAATTTTTTTATGCAAAAGTTATTGAAAGCAAGTTCTGAAACAGTGCAATGTATAAGGATTATAAAAATTATGGAGACATGCACATATATGTATAACTATCCCATTACTAGAAATTTTAGTATCCTTGAGTTATCTTGAACTGTATAAATCAATGAAAAGACTTTTATTTTAGTGTTGCTTAATTTTTTTGTTGTTGACCTAGAATTATATTTGTTGGAATTTATGGAGATCTTAGAGGTTATTTTCTCTAGCTGCCTCATTATAGAGGAAGCTAAATCTCAAAGAAGTGAACTTCCCCAAACTGAGTAGCCCCTTATAACAGCATCCTTGTGCTTTTACTTACTCAAAAGAGCTTTCACTGATATCCCTGAAAATAGTCCATATGGATAGCATTGGTGATATCTCACTGTTCTTTTTCAGTGATGATATAAATGTTATATGTAAAATAATTCATAGGCAGTTTCTCTCAATGATGTAATAAAATCATTTGAATCTACAACAGAGAAACAAGATGGGATATTCTGACAAACTTTTTTAAATGGTAAGGGGAAAGGAGATACCAAGTAAATGAATCTCCCAGTAGCTACAAATGAATTTGAACTTCATTTATTGGGAAGAAGTCAGAGATTGTAAGTTCAGTATCTTCATCTCATAGATTAGGAAATGAAGACTTAGAGGTGTGAAAGTCATGAAGCTAGCTGATACACCTGTAGTTGTAACCAACCTATGACTTGGTCACATACTCATGTAACTGAGCTAATAGGCCTCTATCTCTTTTAAGAGATGCTGAAGATGTTTTAACATAAATTCTTTCAATGATTTTCCTAGAGAGAGGATGTATCTGTGAGATCCAGATGCATCCTCATATTGTTTATGCTTTCAACATTAGTCAGAGAGATTCTATTTTCCAGGAAGTCCAAAAGAATGAAATTTCAGATTAAGACCATATAAGCCCCTCATCGTCAGAGAATGGAGACCGTGGTTCTTGATAGAGTCCTGTCAGAGGCATGGTGATAATCAATGTGGAAGAAAAGAAACAAAACTGTGGTTGAAATCAACCATGAACTTTTTTTTCTTTTTTTTGGCTATTCTGGGTCTTGGGGCTTTTGTTGCATGCAGGCTTTCTCTAGTTGCTGCAAGCAGGGGCCACTCTAGTACAAGGGCTTCTCATTGTGGTGGCTTCTCTTGTTGCAGAGCACAGACTCTAGAGTGTATGAATTTCAGTAGTTGTGGCACACAGGGTTAGTTGTCCCACAGCATATGGGATCTGCCTGGACCAGGGATCGAATCTGTGTCCCTTGCATTGGCAGGCAGGCTCTTCACTACTGGACCACCTGAGAAGTCCCCACATTGAGCTTTTAAAGGTTTTTTTTGTCTTAGATAAACACTTGAGAGTAAACTTTACTTTAGTTATCGCCATCTTTCAGACAGATACACTTTTAATGAAACATCTAAGATTGCTTGATCCTGTATCTGATGCTTATCAATGAATTTGACCAGTAGTTCCCCTACTGGACTGAGTAGTGCTCTTACTCTCATCAACTATCTGTATAATGTGCCATTTTCCTCTGTGTGAAGAATCATAAATATTTTCTAAGGCATGGGATTTCCAGTAATACTTTAGCCCAGCCAGCATTTTACCTTTCTGCTGGCATTCCAATAATATGTGTCTGTTATCTTTTAGAAAACACAATAGATGTTGATTGATTTTATCTGTATATTGTTGTTCAGTTTCTCAGTTGTGTCTGACTCTTTGTAACCCCATGGACTGCAGCACGCCAGGCTTGCTTATCCTTCACTATCTGCTGGAGTTTGCTAAAAGTCAAGTCCACTGAGTCGGTGATGCCATCCAACCATCTCATCCTCTGTCGTCCCCTTCTCCTGCCCTCAGTCTTCCCAAGCATCAGGAAATGAGTCACCTCTTGGCATCAGGTGGCCAAAGTGTTGGAGTTTCAACTTTAGCATCAGTCCTTCCAATGAATATTCAGGTCTGATCTCCTTTAGGATGGACTGGTTGGATCTCCTTGCTGTCCAAGGGACTCTCAAGAGTTTTCTCCAACACCACAGTTCAAAAGCACCAATTCTTCGGTGCTCAGCTTTCTTTATAGTCCAATTCTCACATCCATACTTGACCACTGGAAAAACCATAGCCTTGACTAGATGGACTTTGTTGGCAAAGTAATGTCTCTGCTTTTTAATATGCTGTCCAGGTTGGTTATAACTTTTCTTCCAAGGAGTAAGCATCTTTTAATTTCATGGCTGCAGTCACCATCTGCAGTGATTTTGGAGCCCAGAAAAATAAAGTCTGCCACTGTTTTCACTGTTTCCCCATCTATTTGCCATGAAATGATGGGACCAGATGCCATGATCTTAGTTTTCTGAAAGTTGAGCTTTAAGCAAACTTTTTCACTCTCCTCTTTCACTTTCATCAAGAGGCTCTTTAGTTCTTCACTTTCTGCCATAAGGGTGGTGTCATCTGCATATCTGAGGTTATTGATATTTCTCCCGGAATCTTGATTCCAGCTTGTGCTTCATACAGCCCAGCATTTCTCATGATTTATTCTGCTTATAAGTTAAATAAGCATGGTGACAATATACAGCCTTGGCGTACTTCTTTTCCTATTTGGAACCAGTCTGTTGTTCCATGTCTGGTTCTAACTGTTCAAGGGTCCTAGGATGCTTTTAAAAATTAGTGGTAACATTTTAACAATATTTTTGCTTCACTGATAACAATGGTTGGTAATTATGTCTCATGACATTCTACAATTCTCATTATTTCAAAATTGAAGGATTAAAATCCATAACTGGTTTAAAGTATAAGCCATGATATATTTGTTTAAATTGGACTAAAAGCTTAGAAGACGATTAATGGTCAAATATTGATTGGCAGCAGATGGTGCACTTAGCACTGCTCACTTAGGGCCCTGTATCCCCTGCTCATTGTTCATGAAAGAAAAATTGCTTCTTGT